GCACCAAGATTAATTTTGCTAAAGAGAGCCCCCCACAGGGGCGTCTTGAGAAGTTTAGAAGAATTTGCTAAACAGCTTGGAGGTACTGAAGCAGACTATAAATTTTAATACTTTCATCCTATCAATATTCGATCTAATATTTGAATAAGTGTGGTAAAAGATCGAAAAGTAATATAGTCCTTAGATTGATACAGATTTTACCAAAGACCTTCTTCAACGTAACCCCAAATTAAAGTTAGTCTAAATCACTGTATGAGTCAACAAACCTTTCGATGTTCAACTTATCTTTTCCAACTACAGTATGCTCTACATAACCAGAACGCAACCGGATATATACCCGGTTTATATTCATTTACCTGAGAATCACAGAAAACCTTATAATCTAACAGCCGATCGAGAAACGATCACCACCTATATTGAAACAACTTTAATTTTAACTGCATACTGACTTTACGGCTCTGTTAAATGACTCTACGGCTAGGGAATCGTTGAAAATATTGAACAAGTGTTTTAGGAAGTTTACTTTACAACGGACACAAGTATTTCAGTGGCGCAGAGCATTCAGTGAAGGTTATGAAGGGAACGAAAATTTGTCTCATGCGAATGGTCCATCCACCTCTGCTCATGACATCGAAAAAGTCAAAGAAACATTGCTCGAAATTTGATGGTTAGCGGGGGATCTCAAAATCTTGTATAGATCGACTCACATGTTGGTTAATGTTTTGACTATGAAGCGTTTCAATGCTTAACTCGTACCAGTCGCATCAAACGGTAGTAGATGAGTAGTGGGTTTATGAATGTAACGTCGAAACTGGCTGACACTTTAGGGAATGGCGCTCCACAAATGAGACGAAACCGATAAGGCCAGCCGAGGCTTACTCGTATATCAAGTGTATTGGAAATTGGATTAAGCGTTGGCATGCTTGTATTGGCTCAGGAGCTTATTTTGAAAGCGCTAATAAAGATTTATATAAAAAGACGTGAAAATTTAGTTATTTTTTGTCGATTCGGGAAACGAAGAACTACAGATCCTGTACTAGAGTTGAGTCACTCTATATGCAAATTACACAACTACTTAAAAGTTGATTGTTGGATTGATTTACTCTTAAATTTTCCAAACTATCTGCAAGTAAATTCATTGAATCAAACTTTAGATTTCGAGCCAATGCCTTTCGACAAATGAAACTCCAGGTGACGACACGTGTGCATATAAAAACATGCATACCACGTTTTATCGCCGCTGTCTCCACCTTCACTCTATATGCAAATAACAAAATGCACTTTGAGGCATTTGCATAAATATTTCATTTAAATGCAACCCAAGGCGACTGCAGCGCAGATCATACCTTCGCGCCCCCGTGCGCCAAGCGGCGCTGTGTGGGCTCCCTTCATTTATGTGCCGCCTACTAGCAACAGCTCAGAAACTAACAGCGCCTCCAAAAAAAAAGGTGCAGATCAAGACAGCAAATTTGATGAATTCACCGAGCTGAAACTCACTTAACGTGCGCACTGCATATGTGTTGCATATGTATATGCCTGCGGTGCGCATGCGCGACTCGAACTTTTCATATCATAAAGAATTTATGGTATTGCAAATGTTATTTAGTGTAAATATCAAAAAGGTAGCAAGATAAAAATTGCCTACAGCCTCTGTATTCAAGTTCGCAATGAAACGCTGGCTAATCATGCGACGCGCAACAAAAAAAAAACAACAGCGGCAGCAATAAAAGCTGCAAAGAAATTTGTTGAGTTCACATTTTCTGCGACCTGCGGCCTGCACTTGCGTGGAGCTCTGCACGCCAAGAATATATTTGGATGTGTTTGTGTATGTCACAACCTTTCGTGGACGTCTTCTTGGTCAAAGCGTGCATGCGTGCGGGTTAACGGCTTATCGGACGTTGCATATCAGCGACGCTTCTTTATAGCCCATATAAAATTTATTACACATACATACAAATATACGCGCGCGTTCTCCTGCATTTTCGTGCTTTTCGCATGTTTGTGCGTCAGCGCGTACGTGCGCGCTGTGGCCCGCATTTTGCCGCCGGCATTCGTTGTGGCACGCCACGCACTTGCAACAGCAATTTTACGCAGATTCGCACTGACGCGCTCAGCGAACGCTTTGGCCGCAGACATGCGCGTGCGCATTTAATTTCGCCGAAAATCCAAATTGTCGTTAAGCATTCGACGCTTTGGCGCGCACAACACCAACACACATATACATACGCGCACATAGGTGCGCGCATATCCTCGTCTCGTTGAGCGGCAGCTGTTGCTGTGCCATCAGACATTGTTGTATGCGGCACATCAACGTGCAAATTAAATGCAAACTTACATTTTTTCGCCTTGCGGTCGCCTGCTGCTGTCCTGCTGTCCTTGCTGTTGTTTTTATCGATATTTGTGTTTTTGTTGTTGGTGCGCTTTTTACGAGCGTTTGCGTTCTGACCAGCTTATCAACGAAATTTGCAAATGTTTAGTGCTCGATCGAGAACCCATAATCAAGTCTGCTGTCCAAACAGGAATTTGACTGCGGATTATATGTCCATATACATACATATGTATGCGTAAGTATGTGTATATGTGTGTGTGCGCACGTACCAGTGGCAAATGGCTGACGCGCAGATAAAATTGCAGCCTTGCGGTGAATGTGCTCTCCACTACTCTTCGACTTACCGCTTGTCACTTGCCACTTGCCGCTTGCTATTCTGCTACTTGCCATATGCGGCACGTACCACAGCTTCGACGCGCTAAGGAGTCGAATTATTAAGAAATAAACGCATGCAAATGAAGGCGTTGAAATATTGCACGCGCTCGAAAAAAAAGAAAGCTTTCCACAAACAAACTAAAATTAAATAACATAAAGTGAGTATAAGTGGCGATAGCGCGCTGCCGCAAATATTATAATTAATGACCGAAAAAAGAACGCCAAATCGAAAGATCGCCTAAGCGGTTAGGTTTTTTTGTAGGCAAACGTTCGTTTAAAGGGTGCTAAATGAGTGATTTCTCACGCGCTTCTGCAGCTGAAATTTTTAATCGCTCAAAGGCGTAAATGTTCGAAAGTGTTTTTGTAGTCCTGTGTGCATATTAACAGGTACAGCTGAGGCATGTGTGAATATCAAATGAACATTTACTTAATTTACATGCACTTAGTGGTGTATTCGGTGTTCTTAGCAGCGTGGAGTGCTGCGGAGGGTGCGGCAAGTAAGTAAGAATTCAGAAAAAATAGATAACTCAAGAGCTTCTGAATTAACTTCAAGTGATTTCACTTTAATTTTACCTTTATTCAAGTTTTTATAACATTTCAACCCTCTAATGATCATCTTGAGGGTCACTTTGACTCTGTTTCCTGAAAATTCCCATCAAATTTATTTTGGCAGATCGATTAATAAGGTTCGAATGAAATGTTTTTCGTATTGCCTTCAATCCTACATACAAAAATTTTGCTTATGATAAGGTTTTCAAAATAGTTTAACCCTCTAACGAGCACCGTGCGGGTCATTTCGACCCAGCTTCTGAAAAATTAAGAAAGTATACCTAAAAAGTATTCAGGTAGGAAAAATATACATAAACATTCATTTCGGATCATTACGGTTCAGTTTGACCGAAAAACAACTCAAAAACTATTTTCGAAAATTAGTCAAGGGTTAAAATAATCCTTTAAATAATGTTATTTGGAGTGCGTTATACTCTTTTGAATTGTCTTAAAGTGTATTTGCTAAAATTTTTCAAATATAATTTTTTTTCGAAATATTTTAAACCTCTAAAGGACACTTGCCGGGTCTTTCTGACCTTTTTTTTAAATATCTCTACAAGTTACTGAAAACATAACATAAGCAAAATATAGATTTGAGCATTCGATTATTACCGACTCCATCTCAAAGGCTGTATTAAAAATTTATTTTGAGTAATTTTTTGGGAGAGTCACGCCTCAATCCACTTTAGTTCCAACTCAACCAAACCTTGAATCAGTGATGCTATATACCCAGCAAAAATACCAACTAATAAACTAAATAATTGCGTATAAATTCCTGAACATACACAAATACCGATGTACATATCCACAACTATATACAAGTAGTTGTTGCCCTTAAAGTCGCTTGACGCGAAATGCGCATTCACTCGCCGCAACCCAAATAAGCGAAATGAGCGAGCAAGTTACATATGTATCTGTCCGGGCGCCGGCTAACAATAATGATGACACTTGTGAAGTGCCAATTAATTATCATAGCACATATGTTTATTTACTTAATTTACTTAATGATGCCAGCGGCGGAACAACCCTCATAAGGCGTCTTCAGTTCACAGTCAAACGGCAGCCGTCAGTTTTCCGTTATTAGTTAGTACAATCACAATGACCCTGGCGAGAATCGCTGTATAGCGCTTAACTGCTTGATAAATAAATGAGTTTAAAATGGTATTTCAGTACCGTTAGGAAAGCAATTAATATTGGAATGCTTATAAGTTATCGATGGATATCCATCTAGTAAAAAATACTTGTAAAGCATTAAAGCATAAAATTATATAGTTATCGTTTAATTTAGGTGAGTTCGACAAAGTTTGATTTATTAATTATATTGCGTTCAGAAATTATTATTTTTTCAGTTTCTTATCCAAATGCCTGAATGGAAATAAAAAAACGATTAAAATCTATAAATAATAATCGATACCTGCTTAGAGTTATCAATAAATTTTGCCCAACTAGAGTCAAAATAACAATAAAAACCACGAATTTAAAATAATTTCTAGTGAGTTCGATAAATTAATCGAAAATAGTCGATAATTTATTAAAATTTTCGATAAGTTTTGCCAAAATGGAATAAAAATAAAATTAAAGTGGTTATTAGGTTCATCAAAAATTGCTCTAAAATACTAACGTATATTTGATTGTAACAAATTCTAAAAAATAAACGATAAGAGTTATGTTGATGCTAAATTAAATAATTTTGAAAATAAATTCATAAAAATTCAATAACTTAATACCTCAAAACTTCTCTTTTCAGCAATTGTTTAATACAAAGTGGAAAATTCAAATTCTAAGGTAATTAAAACTTCATTTTTTAATCGTAATGGTTTAGTTGAAAAAATTTATAGGGAAAATTGTCAAAATAAGATAACAAGTTATAGAAAGAAAGTCAAAATTTTATCATAAATAAATAAAAAAGCGATCTTACAATTTTTCTAAAAATGATAGTAATTGACGGTTTCTTCCTCATCTTAATCTTAATTTTTTTTTGTCAAAATATAATTTAAAGAAAATAAATTTAAATTAAATTTATATCTAATATAACTCAAAACTATGTGCTTTTTAATTATAGAAAATGACATTAACAGTCAAGTTTTGATAATATATAAAATGAGGTTGCTATGCTTACAATTCTTATTTTATGATTGTAATTCTAAGCCCAGTATACAAATATTGTTTTTTATATTAAAGAGGAGAAATAGATTTCTAGGTGCTTGAAAAAAAATGTATGATAATATTATTGAGAAATTTCTTACTGGGATGCTTTGTTCACACCGTTCTACATTCTTATGGAAATGCATTTACCAATATAGATCTGATATCTTCTATATGATATCCTTCAAACATAACAAATAAATTAATAAAAAATTTCCTACTGGGTTGTTATGTCTAGATAACACATTTTGAAATAAATTTAAAAAATATCTACATTTACCAATATAGATCAGAAATATTCCTTACGATATCCTCCAAATATAACAAAAAAAATTAATTTATTAAAAATTTCCTACTGGGTTGTTATGTTCAGTCAACTATTCAAATTAATTTTTACTTATATAGATTACATATTTTAGCATAATTTAAAATAAAATTGAAAAAAAGTAGTCAAAATTTCCTATTGGGTTGCCATTATCATTGTACTATTCACATGATTTTTTCTAGTATATATGAGTTAAATATTTAAAAAAAATTTTCTAAAAAATTTGAAATTAATATTGAAAGTTTCTTACTGGGTTGCTAAGCTTATACTGCAATACAGATTAATTTTAACTAATATAGATTAGAAATATTTGATATTAATTTAAAAAAAATCAAAAAAACCATTAAAACATTTTATTTACTAGTTTGCTAAGCTCTTTGTACTAATCAAATTAATTTTTATTAAATATTTATAAAAAAACCTCAAAAAAATTTAAAAAAAAATTTTAATTTCCTTATGGGTTTTTATAATAAATGTATAATATTATGCAAATTAGTTTTATCTAATAAAGATTGGAAATATGTAATATCAGTTATAAAAATTAACTCAAAATTTCCAACTGGGCTGCTATGTTCTGCCATACAAATAAATTTTAACTAATATAGGTTCGAAATAAATAATAAAAATTTAAAACATTTAAAAAAAAGTATTCATTATTTCCTACTGCGTTGCTTCATTAATATTTTTCCATATACTCGTAGCATGCAAATAAATGTCTACTAATATAGAGCAATCTGCTTGACCGCCACACTGGCAGCCTTCATTTAAATGGAGCTGTCCGCTCAATATACTCAAAAGCATGCGCTTATGTGTGAATGAAGCCGCCGCCATGGCGTGAAGGCTGCGTAGCTGAGTCCAAACACTAAATAAAGTTGCTGGTGATAATAAAATTATGAACAAGAGCAAAAACAATTACTTAACTACTTAAATGCATAATTGGTGTCGCAATGTGTATGTGTATATAACTGTATGTGTATTTGTAGCCGCCACGTGACAGCGTTGGCTGCAGCTGATGGCTATGCTAGCGGCGCTTAATATTACTTCTAAATGTCGACAAGCCTCCGAGGGCAGTGCATTATGCATTATTTGTTGTTCGCTACTGTTGTTGTTGTTGTTGTTGTTGCAGCTGGATGAGGTCATCATCATTTTAAATATTTCATATTAATTGCCACTGCAATTAAGTATGAAGCCAGCCATTTCTCAGCGCTGTCAGTGTCAGTGGTCGCTTGATGTGCGCTATGGTATCACTAACATGTTGTTGTTGTTGTCCGTTTTGTTATTGTTGTCCACAATGTTGATGTTGCTTTTGATGTTATTTGTCAATGTTGTATGTTGTTGGTCGGTCGGTTGCTAGATATTTATGAACACTCATGGTACATGCTGCTCCCTTAACTGAAAGTTTTTGTATATACCATATATGTGTGTGTGTGTGTTTGCTACACCCGCAATTATGCCGCATACACGGGCATATGCGTGTTTGCTCACATACTTCCACATAGTTGCGATATTTATGGCAGCAACATAAATAACATGCATAATTTATATGCACAAAAATACACAAATATATATATATATGTACATGTATACGCTTATATAAATATATATAAAATTGCATATTTGAGATTCCATCATGCGAATTGGCGCATACATGCAGCGTACAATGTTGCATTGGTGGCATGTGGCACGCTCATTGCGAAAATAAGCCCACGCTGTGCGCGTGCAGAACTTTTTGCAGCGGCACGTGAGTGTGTGTGTGTGGGTGTCTGTGTATGTGGGTGGTTGGGCGCATTACCAATCTACACATATACACATTTATGAATTTTGCGATTGCGGCACTTTGTCACGCTTACATCATCGTTTATCGTTGCAAGTCAAAGTGCATTCGCGCTGACCCAATTTGATATTTGCTTTGCATTCTTCTCTTTTTGCATACATTTTGAGTGGAATTGTTGCATTTTTGCCAAGAATTGAGATTATGAAACGCCGCTTAAAACGCAAATGTGTGATTTATTTGCGGCTAGTAATAAATGGATGTGCCAGTGGCATATGAAATGTATGAAAAATCGCGCCGAAATATAAGAAAAAATATTTGGGGGGAAATTTTTGACAAACAAAAACAACAAATAAGAAAACAATGTTATTTGAGACAAACACTAATAACAAACAAGAAAAAACGTTAACTTCGGTTGCTAGCTAAAATACCCGTTACAAATACCAAAGTCTGCTTACGAGAGCTTGAACCCAATCGTTAAGTTCATACGGCAGCTATATGCTATAGTTATTTATATACAAGTATCATACATCGAGAGTTCCAAACGAGTGAGCAGCTTCTTGTCAACAAAAGGACGTGGGCAACATTTCAGGTCGATATCTCAAAAATTGAGCGAATAATTCGCGTATATACAGACCGACGAACAGACGACATGGCTTAATCGACTCAGCTTCAGATGCTAATCATTTATATATGTATGTACTTATATAGATTTTATAGAGTCGCCGAATTTCCTTCTGCTTGCTACATACTTCGTGGCAAATTTAATATAGCCTGTGTGTAAAAATATTTTGAGAATATTTTTGAAATGGAGTGGAACATCCGATGATGCAACAAGCGCTTACAAAGCTCCGCCAAAAGTAACGAAGATAATTTTAGACATAATTGTTTAATAATTTCTCAAAAATGCTTGAAACAAAAAAAGTCGGGGTTTAAGCTTTTTGAAAAAATCAACCCTAAGCAAAAGTCAGCTGTTTTTATCTGACTTGGACAATGACAATATTCGAAGATATACTTCAACCCATTTTTGAACAATTTTGAAAAAGAAACCTTCTAAATATAAAAACCAAACGTCTGAGTACAATAGGCTAGCCAAAAATTCATCCGAACCCCAAAAATTTACGAAGACTTAATTCAAAAGACCAAATAATAATTATTTTGCGGAAATAAATCAATAAAATAATATATTGGCAATGTACCAAAATCGTCAAAAAATAGCTCTTTTTCTCACGAAGTCATAAAACTTACTTTTAAAGAATAGTTAACTCGAAACCACTGCTGCTCGGAGCATATTCGAAAGGCAAGCTTTACCAGAACAATGAATAAGAAAATTGAAGAACTCCATAAAGTCGAGTTAAAGGTTTAAGTTTGTAAATGTTTTACTTTAAAACTGAGTGAGCCGTCTCTAGATGTTAAAACAAAATTTTATTTCGTCCAAAAATTTTCTTTTTTTATAATCTACAGATTTTACCCTCAGGCTTTTTTTTCCGCTCCACCCTACTATATACTATGTACGATTTGGTGAACTGTCAAGCTGTCAACAATCACCTCAGCTTACTCCGAAAGTACTAAAACTTTATCTACAACAAAAGTTGATTCAAAACCGATCCTGTTTAAAAAAAAAATTTGGAAGACTTTTAGTAGGCTTTTCCAACAGAATGAATAAAATATTAAGGTTTGAATTTGTAAACTTACAAATGAAGTGTTTATAAAACTCAGAACTTAATTTGAGATTTTGAAGGAACTGTCAAGTTGTCGATAATGTGGTAAACATGTTTAATATTGCGACAATAATACCTATTAATTTAAACACTCAAAAATTGTGTTAAACTGGGGAAATTTATTAAATGGTAAAATGGTGTTTAAGGTTTTTAGCTTAAGTTAAATTTTTATTTAGTTTTTTATGGCACGTTAAACTCGGTGTTTAACTGGAGGTAATAAAAATTTGTTTATTGTAAACTTGTTGTTTTTGGTGTTTCACTGGAGCTAAAGGGAATTGTGTGCAGGATAAACGCGGTGTTTACAAGTAGTTTTTAATAATAAAGCCCATTATTCCCAAAAAACTGAGTTTAGCGACAATTCGACATTTGTTAAGGCTAACTCGTAGCACAAAGGATGCGTTGTAACACTAAAAATGTAAAGTAATGCGTAAGACCATGCCTGATGAATTTAAATTTCATCGAGCTGCGTTACATAGAAACCCATTTTATATGTACTTGATATATTCTGTGACTCTCTATATATTGTGGATACACTGTTATTTATAATATATTAATCACCAGTTTCAATACTCCTCTGCTAAATCAATATTTTCTAAACTTAAAATTTTACATGTAATAATATATTAAATATATTCTTAACATTGTTATTATAAATATATTCCTCCATTGAATTGCCTTGTTAGCAGTTAACAGAGTTGGACAGACTGATCATATAGTTTACATAGCGAACAGATGGTCACGAATTGAGTTCCAGCTTTGGTAGCTGATGTTCACTATTTCCAAAGTTCTATTCGGCCATCTGGGTCTCTGCGAGCGCACCTGT